CCCACCTCTTTCTGGTGGTTCCTGGATAGCCGTCAACAGCGCAGCTGGAGTTTGAGCATGTTGTTTCCCCTTGGTATAGTCAACAGCACTCCTCTCCCCAAAGACAAGGCAGCAGCCTCCTGCTGGTGAGGTAGAGGCAGAGACAGCACCTTGACTGGATCCTGGGGTGTGGTCAGCCTGCAGAGTGAAATCAAGCCTTCACAAGGGATGACACTGTTGATTTATGAACTTCTAGAACTCAGGGCTAGGGGGGCGGGGCACAGACTTCAAAATAATGTCCATATCAGCACTAACTAGTCGCCGTTTTCTTATTAGATGTCTGTAGCTGAACCCTGAAGACTGCTATTGCTCTCAAGAGAAAAGAAAAAAAAAAAAGGTTTCTGGCCACCATTCAAGGCAGAAATGGGATGGATATTCCATTTCCAGGCACCGTTCTCATATGTGCCACGGTATATTAAAGGAAGAAGTAAGAGTCAGAGAACACAGGAAATTGGAAGGCAGGGCTAATAAAAGTTACTAGACATAATCTCTGCCCCCTAATCTGACTCTCTCTCTCCCTCTGCCCCCTTCTCCCTGTCTCCCTCCCTCCCTCCTTCTTTCAAAGGCTCCCCTTGTCCAGAGTTCTCTCTCCCCAGTCGAATTTGCAGTGATATCTGGTCGCCAGAAATCCAGGCCTCCCATACCAACTGTCCTCCTTCCATGTGCCAACAGTCTTTTCAGTCAGTGGTCCTTTCTCCATGCCCCAATTGTCCTCTCCATCAATGATTTCCTCTGTATCCGTGGTCCTTCTTCCATGTGCCAATGTCCTCTCTCGGTGTGTCAATAGTCCATCCTTCATGTGTCAGTGGCCCCCCTCGGCGCTCAAAGTCACTCCTCCCTGTACAATGCATGAGATCTCTGTATCACACACACGGACACACACACACACACACACACACACACACACACACACACGACTCTGTATGTGGCTAAGCTTTCCCTTATAAACTCTTATAAAAACATTCTGTTTGGATTCTGGCTTTTCTTTCCAGTCTGGAGATCCTCACTGAATCAACATCATACTGCCAACTACCTAATAGGAGTCTTTGGCAACTTATCCCTGCCTCCTTCGGTGCTCCCGCCGGACACCTCCGATTGATTTCTATGTTAGGGCAGCATATCCGATTCACCACCAGGCTAACCTGCGCTGCAGAACCCACCTGCTACAGGGATGTATAAGGTTGTTGCCTTTCATCTTTCTCCATACTTACCAGACAGCACCATTCTAAAAGAGTGGGTTACAAGCTGGGATTTCACGTGTGGCCTCTTCGGAGCCTCAGCTCACCTCCTAGGCCAGGCTGCGGCTTCTGGCTCTCCACAGGTCCTGTCGGAGGATGGTCAGGCAGTTGCTCAGCCTGTAGCAGGACTGCATCCATGTGCCATGCAAGCTCACCTGAGAAATGGAACTCTGACAAGGGGGTAAAAGCCAAGAGAACTTTGTATAAAACCACACTGACTCGAGCAAATCCACAGCAAAAAACTAAATCAGCTCACACCTCTCACGTCTATGCAAACTACTTACAATTCCCTCATTGTGGACTTAATGGAAATCTTCAAATTCTTGAAAACACACATATAACTCCACAAGTGTAAATACAGACACATAAAGGAGGAGTCTTTGGGAGCTGGGGCTACGTGGAGCTCTTAGTACCTTTGAAACAAAGCAAAACGTAAAAATAACTTTCATTTTGTGAAATTTACAACTCTGGCCGGGCACAGTGACACACATCTGTAACTCCACCATTAAGGGAGGAAGAGGCAGGTGGATCGCTGTGAGTTTGAAGCCAGCCTGGTCTACAAAGCAAGTACAGGACAGCCAAGGCCACACAGAGAAACCCTGTCTCCGAAAAGGAAAAAAAAATGTGTAACTTTGACTTTGTGAAAGACCTTTATGGGGAAGCTATAGCCATGCTCTGGGCCAAGGGGAAAGATGGACAACGACACAACTGACAGAGGGCTTATGTCCAGATGGTAGAAAGGTGCAAAGGGGACCGAAGAGATGGCTCCATGAGTAAAGTACTTATTGCATGAGCACAAAGACAAGGATTTGGCTCTCCTGTGCTCTTGTAAAAAGCCAGGCTTGGTGGCCAGCGTCTACAATCCCGCCATTAAAGAGAGGAGACAGGCAGATCCCAGGGGCTCACTAGCTACCTGCCTAGCAGAGACAGAGAGCTCCAGGGTCATTGAGAGGTCCTGTCACCCAAAATTAAGGTGAAGAAGCAATTGAGAAAGATGATGACATCTATCTCTGCCCCCGCCCTCCACAATTCCACAATAGGAAGGAAACAACTAAATTAGAAAAGAATGGTCAGACATTTCTCCCGGAAGGACACATAACATAAGAATATGGAAAAATCATCATTCACTACTAGAAAAAAAAAGTCAATTAAAATAACAACATAATACATGTAAAATATAAAATAGGTGTAGGTGTTGAATCTCTGCTTCATAAAGTAAGTTTTAGGGACTTAACTGATGTCATCAAGCTAGTTGACAAGGGAAAAGTTTCCAGGCTGATTGGCAGCAAGCACATTTATCAACTGAGCCTGCCCACCTACCCTCTTGAAACAGACTGTCTTGGGTATTTTGTTTCATTGCCAGAAGGATGGCTAACCCATTCATGTACAAATACGATCTTGGAGTACTAAAAGGGAAATTAACCGTTGATTCCTGCAATTACCTAGATGGATCTCAGAGAATGTTGCTGAGGAAAAATGTTAATCCCAGGCTATATACTTTCTGATTCTAGTTACTTAATATTCTACTGGGGTAGGGGGAAGCAAAATTGTAGAGTTGCAGATTGTCATGTCCAAAAGAAACTCAGGGCAAATGGCTGGGGTGCCATCCCAAAGCACTGTTGGCCTCCAGGAGCACTCAGCACCGATGGCTCTTCTCACCCTGCCCTAAACTTCTCCAACTCATAAGCTCCCCTTCCCCCAGTTCCTCATTCCTAGAAAACCCTGCCATTACAGCCATGCACTCTCCTGGTCCTCTCTTGCCTTCTTCTCCTCCTCTCTCAGGCTCCCTCTGCCACCTCTCTGTTCTCATGGTCCTGTCAAATCTGTTGGCCATGTTTAGTCTATGACTTTCCCTGCTCCAGGCTCTTCCAGGTGCCTCTGGCTTTCCTCTCCCTCATATCTACAATAAAAACCTTCCCCTCAACCCTACCTCACTTTGTACAAAGATGAGATTAATGGTTGCCAGGGATGTTGGGGAAACAGAATCCTTTGAGAACCATGATGGCTCTTTGTCATAGAATTGTGAACATCTTCATAGAGATCACAAAAGCACACACAAGACACACAACCACACAGAACTAAACACAGACACATAAGCACAGCTTGCAAACATGGAAAACTTAAGTAAGGTTGGTGACTTTTACCAATCTCCATCTCCCTGGGGTATGGACCGGATTATGTGAGTCATTCTCACAAGGGAATAAGTTGGAGAAAGGGGTTTGTGAATATAAGTTCCGACAGCTGCACACCAACCTTATAATCAGCATATAAGACTGTAAAGATGATTTGATTGTATCATGACAGGAACTAAAGACAAATATGACAAGATCAACTGGATGCATAGATTTGCACCACAGATGAGGGGCCAACGCTTAACTGTGTGTGTTCTAAATTTACTCTTTCGGGAACACACTTTTGTTTGTAATCTTGGATAATCTTGATTGGGTACAAGGTGAAGTCTAAAAGGAAGTTAGCTGTGGGATGAGAGAAGATCACTTGAGTGTCCAGAGGAGATGGCCTTTAGCCTACGGTCTATCCTGGGGTGTGTTTCTTTAACAGACCAGAGAGCAGGTTCTGATGGAATGGTGTGATGTCAACAGTGCCTTCAGAATGTTTGGGTTCACTTGGCTACCATCAGTGTGCTCCTCACGGCTGTGAGACTGAGTGCTGGGTAGGCTCTGAGAAAGTCACGAGGGCCTAGGTCACCAGAGAGCGGAACAGGTGCTCGCACAGGTGAGCACCACCCATTGCTATGCTCGACTGAGCATCAGGAGCTTGAGGTGTCTCAGGGATCCATGGGACTCTGCTGATGGACGACTGGTAATACAGTGGGAATGGAAGCAGGCTTTAGGTTAAGGGGAACAGAACAGAAAACAATGTGAACAAAAGGGAAAGTAAAGTGAGAACAGGGGAGGATGTTGAAGAAGAACCTTGTCCACCAAGGACAGCCCTGGAGAAGGAGCCAGAAGGAAGATGGTGTGGGTCACATGGGTTGTATTTTTAGGGAGATTTAATTGCCTGTGAATTTACAGTGGTTTGTAGAGCTATGTAAAGAGGTGATGGCAAAGAAAATGGGTATGTAAAGTCAGCCTAACCCACTGGAAACATGACGGACCCTCAGTAGTCATTCTTCCCATTAGCAAATTCACAGTGGCCTGGCTACAGCCAGGGAACACACCCTAGGCAAGTCCAGGATCACCTTCTCATTTGTGAAGCAGGTGAACTATAATCTTTACTTCACAGATTACAAGGACTAAGTGAGGCCGCCTTTTTCATACAGAATTTATTTTTATTTTACATACATTAGTGTTTTGCCTGTTTGAGAGTGACAGGGATTGCCTGGAACTGGAGTCACACACAGGTGTGAGCTGTCATTTGGGTGCTGGGAATTGAACTGCAATCCTCTGGAAGAGCAGCCAGTGCTCTTGACTGCTGATCCATCACTGCAGCCCAAAGTGAGGTCTTCTTGACTCACAGACTAAATTCTAGTTCCATAAGGAATCAAAAATGATGGTCAAGATCTCCATGATAGAGGTCCTACATTCAAGTCCCATCAAAAAAAAAGAAAAAAAAAAAAAAAAAAAGCAAGCTTTCAGCTACCATTAACTAGTTAACTACCTGTTTCAATTTGTTTTAGAAAGAGAAGGTTACACAGAAATAGCCCTGGTTTGGAGTCAGGCTGGGCTGCTTCCTTGGTTGGGAAGCCAAAACCAGGCTTCCTCTATGTCTGCACCAATTGCCTTAAATGCCATAACAAGGCTTCGGAACTTAATCAGAAGTCAAAGGAAAAAGGCACCTGTGAGAGCACAGAGAGGCGTGTATGGCCTCTGCTGCTTTCACCTCTGGTCCCCAGGTGAACGAAGGGCAGATCAGTTCGGCTGAAGCTCCAACCCCTCCCTCTTCCCCAACTACTCGAAGTCAAGTTCTAAAGGAGTATGGCAAGGAGTGTCCTAGTGAGCCAGGAGGTCACCTCTTGTTCACTTTTTGTAGCTATGACAGACAGAAGATCAGGGAAGTCATCTGTCTCCCCAAAGGGGTCCTGGAAGCAGAATGACTCCGAGACACAGGTGCCAGAGGATAGCGTTTGCCTGGCCCAAAAAGGTACATAGGAACTCAGTTCGAAGCCACCTCTGTAGATAAATGCACATGGGGGCGGGGGAGGACACTTCTCTTAGCCATTACACGCAAATTGTTCAATGTGTATGAGCAGGGAAGAGCCCAGCATTGGCCGAGCAGGTCCCTCTTGTGGTCACATGGGGCTCTTCTCTTTCTGCAGCTCCACAGGTCAGCAGCTTTCTGGCTTCTTCGGGGGATGTCCCCAAACAGAGATACAAGAGGGAGAGGGCCCAAAGAAAAAGGAAGCTGGAGGACATCAAGACGGGTATGTTTCTGTGCACCCCTTGACATTCTTGTCAAGTATGAACGAAGCTGGAAACAGCATGGCCACCATGGGTAGCCCTCCACCTTCCCAAACTATCCTAAATCAAGTTCAAGGCCATAACAAGGGGTGTGATGATGAGACAGGGTGTCACTTCCTTGTTCACTTTTATGGACAGAAGATCAACAAATTCATTTATCTCCATGGAGGGGACGGGGGCATGTCTCTTGCAGGCAGAATGATTCAGGAAAAGAGACACCAGAAAGCATCTGGTGCTTGACAAAGAATGGGTAACTCAATTTCTAGTCTCCCTTGTAGATAAGTGAAGGCCATTGCTCCCAGGTGCCTTCAGATGTCACCTGGAATTATGAGAATGGAAGAACCCCAACCATGTCTGGGTTGTCCCTCTTGTGGCCATGCAGGATCTTCTCTTCCCACAGATCCAGAGGCCTGCATTGTTCCCATCTCCAGCGCTGCCTCTGCAGGGGATGTCCCTGAGCAGCGAGCCAAAAGGAAGAGGGTCCAGAAGACAAAGACATCTGTGGATGTAGGAGCAGGTAGGTGTCCATCGTCTCTGGGCATTCTTGAAGAGCCAGCCTCAGTGGAGTAACAACCCATCACTTTGTCCTCGTGAAGCGATAAATTCCTGAGTAATAGTCAGGGAGTCACCAGATTTGCCGGTTTGGCCATGTCCATGCTTAAGAAGAAGCTTTTGCTCCCACAGCTACCCAGGAGAGCAGCCTACAGGCTTCCAGCACAGCCACCGCTGAAGCTTCCCCTGAGGCTGCCTTAGAGCTCCAGTTCCCCAAGAGGAGAAAGCACAAGAGCATATGGACAGTGGACCGTATCGAGGGGACAAAACTCAAAATGAACAAGAAGAGGAGTCTCAGCTACCGCCCTGAAGACCTCAAATCCTTCTACCGACTTCTGGGTGGGTTCTCTGAACTGAGGAGTAGATAGTGGATATTTGAGACCAGCTCTCAAAACTGAGAATTGAGTGTAGGAGCAGCGGTTTAAATCTCCCCAGGGTGCTCATGGGTGACGTGGATGAAGGGTCCCCGGGTTGTGTGGCAGTGTTTCCATTCTGTGACTCGGAGAGAAGAGAACAGGCTCACACATGAATATGAAGGTAGTGGGGCTTCTCCACCCACAGAGCCAACCAGCGACCCCACCAGTCAAGACGGTAGAAACTGGTGAAACAGGAAACATCACTGACCTAGATTTGGGGATACATGCTCGGGGAGACACGAAAACAAAAAGACCCAAACGTTTCACAAAATAATGTTGCTGTCAGCTCTTGCTAGCTTAACAGCAGAGCTCCCGAGAGTCACACACCTAGAGGTGGGCAAGACAGCAGCAGGAGAGCTCTATGAAGCCAGGAAGCCACAGAAGGTCTCTCTGAGGCGATATGGGCCATAGATCTGGGACCAAGGGTGGCAGGTTGGGGAAAATGCCCAGGTACAGCATCCCATACACCATCTGCCAGCCATAAGCTCTTTAAACGAATTAAACCGCACCCGTCAGCTCCTCAGTCTCCTCTAATACAATTTCACTGTTCAAGACCCACATGTGGCCAAGGGGGTGCCATGTTGGGTGGCAGAGAAATGAGTTAACCACTTGAGAATATTCTATCGGACAGTGCCCTTCTGAGGGTCAGGGAAACTGCACAAGTTGCCTGGGTAATTGGTGAAGGACACAGAGAACCCCACAAGCACAGGTCTTCACCAGAAAAGGGGGATGCTGGTGTGGAGGCCACACATTGTTCCCGAAGCTTCCCCTAGGAAGAGGGGCCCTACAATCGCACATTTGGCCAACTAGATGGGAGTTCCAAGTCCCTCTCACACTTTCTTTCTCTGCAGAGGATCCTGTGGTCCAGAACTTCTTGGCAGCTGACATTTTCTTCAGAGTGACTGACAAGGTACCTGTAGCCTCAGAGAGCCAACAGTCACAGCCCTTAGAGGACAGGCAGAGAATGTGAGACTGTGAGGCCAGGATAACCCAGGTCTGCTCTCGAGGACGGAGTGGGGGCCATTCTTGTCATCTCCCCAGATCCTTTCCCGGTTTTCCAGTCAGGTCATATCCACAAAAACAAAGTTATTCCAGCCCCTCGTTGTGTGTGGGATCGGATGCAGAAGGTCCAGGCCCCAAGGGAGCCTTTCTAACAAGAGAGATTTCTCTCCCTCTCGTTACTGCCTACCTTCTCTCACCAGCTCTCTCTCCACACAGTACCTGCTGTCCATGGTGGTGGAATACTTTGGCCGAGTTGGGCTTCCGGGACACCTCTACAACAGGATCCACTTTTTCCTGGCCCTGTGAGCATCTCCTGGGGACCAGCTCTCAGTCTGTCCAAATCCCAAGTCTTACAGCTTCTATCACTCTGTCAGGACCAAGTAGTGACCCTCAAACGAGAGTAGTGGAAACTTTCAAGGGACCATGAAGGGGAGGAGAAAGAGAGAGGGTCCTGATGGCATGAAAATGGTTGAGAAGGAAGAAGCTACTAGGAAACAGACGTTTCCTTTTCCTGAGAAGTGAATGGGTGCTGCGGGTTGCGTGTCAGGGACGCCCTGGGGATGGTCTAGACCGAGGTTGCCCTGCACACATTGCTCCCCCATTCCATCTCTCAACTACGTGCTCCCACTTGCTCCGCCTGAGTCTGACTGTCACAGAGACCTGCACCTCCCCCCCCCTCCCCGAGGCAGCTACATCGCCTGTGACATGGAAGAGGACGACCCCATATCCAAGAGGAGCATTTTCCAATTCTTGCTGGGCAGAGACACCTGGCAAGACTTGTACAAGGACTTCCTGAAGTTGCAGAAGGAGTTCCTCCAGGCCATGGATTACCGAGCCAGGCTTACACGGGAGCAGTGTGAAGAGGTCTGTCAGGGTTCAGCCAGGAAGAGTGGGGAGGCAGGGTCCTGCCAGAGGAGGGCAAGGATGGGCCCATCCTCCCAGATTCATCTCCAGTTTCCCTTTCAGATCCAGAACCAGAACCCACAGCACTGGGTCTGGAGCCGGGTGCGCCAGGGCACCCCTTAGGTTCCCAGGCCCGGGAACCACCAGCAGGGTCGTGGAGCATGGGGCTGCGCGTGAGCCAGGTGAGTGGAGGTCCTGGCCAGGGGCTCCACGGGCATGGGCTAGCTCTGTTCTCTGCATCCCTGACGCTGTGTTCCGGGCTGTGCAGACATGGGAAAAGCTCTGCTGTTCCCTATCTTGGAGTTTTGGATGGGAGCGTCTGAGCACTGCTGAGGTACAGGAAGGGTTTAAATCCCGATTCTCCAGCTGGATTGCATCCACAGGACCGTGCAACCCACGACACAGTTTCAATTTGCATGTCCTTGTTGTTGGGCCCTGTTGTATTGCTTTGTTTATAACTCAAAGAAAAAAGAAATTAAACCACGTTGTCTAGGTAACAACTCCAGTTTGAGCTGAGGTGACATCTTAAAACACATCTAGATAAAAAACACTGGAGTAATCCACTCTGCAGGGGAAGATGCAATTAGGAACCCCGAGTTATAAGAGACACCCAGTTTGGCAGAAGTTTTGCCTCATCCCCAGGACTTTTCTGGAATGGCAAAACTCACATCTACACACATGAGGGATTTCAAGACTCAGCGCCAGTGGCCACAGCTACTCTGGTCCTGTAGGTTGGAGCAGGGAGAACTGACTCTACTCTTCATGGTGTCTTCCACTCTGAGCTTTATGTGTGACGTGCAGGGATTTGCCCTCCTCCATCCTAACAATACGTTCTCTCCTTGTAGCTCCTGCCCACCCCTGCCATCCCCTCCCCTCCCCTCAACAAGAAGCCAGAGCTTCCCCTCAAGATCCAGGCACCTGAAGAAGTCATCACACAGCCCCTGGCTCTCCTCATTCCTTCGGGATGAAGGGCCTAGGGAGAACATGTGCCTCTGCAGTGTGAAACAGTTGAACAAGGCAACCTCTGGACCCCAAGCTTCACGGAGGGCAGCCTACAAAATGCCTACCCTGAGAATCCTGCACTGGCTCCCATAGCAGCTTGAAGGGTCCAAGAAAGCTTTTATGTCCATCTACTTAGGACTGGGAGCTGTGATGTCACACAAAGTCCAGGAGTTCTGGACCAGAGGTGGAAGAAATTAAAAAGCAGCAGGCTCTAGGGGGTAGCAGCGGATCGGGGAGAGAGGAGCAGCTGAAGTTGGGAGGATAAGAATAGGCCCACCTACTGGGCAAGCAATGTCTCTGGAAATTGTTGTCAGGAGCCCTCTCAACTAGTCTACCAAGTTATCCAACAGTGGCTTATCCCACAAGATGAGGGGGAAATCTCTCCAAGGGGCTGATGGGAAGCACTGAGACACGGAGCATTATGGTGTGGAGACCTGAGGCAATAACCAAAGTAGGATAGGAGAAAGGGGCTGGCGTGAAATTGCAGGCTCTTACCACAGGGAAACAACCCAACTCTCAAAGGAGAGAGTCAAGGAGAAGAAGTGGGTGAGGAAGAGGTGGTGGGTGAATGAGGCGCCCAACACTGGGAACAAAATTGTGAAAGCTGAGGAACAGGAAAGTGGAGTCTCAGAGGACAAGTAGGGCCAATCCTAGGGCTCATAGTGATTCCTACAGACTTGACAACTGCAGAGCAAACATAGGATTTAAAACAGGAAAGACAAAGAGCATATAAATTCGAACACAGCTGACATCGTTCATTTGGTTATATTGTTTTGGTTACACTGTTTTCACTTTATTTTTCTTATAATTGGTTATATTTTTATCATTTTTTGGTTATATTCTTGGTTATGATATTTTGATTATATTTGTTTCATTATAAAATTTTGATTGTATTTGCCTGGTTATAATGTTTTGGTTATATATGGTTAACACTACTTTGGTTTTATCATCTTACGATATTTTTATTATATTTCTGTTATTTCCATTACATTATTTGGGTTATAATATTTTTGCTACATTATTTTTAGTATAGCATTTAGGTTATGTTATTTTGCTTATATTATTTTTGTTATGCTATTTTGATTATAATTGCTTATATTATTTTGCTAATATTTTCGTATTATTTAGATAGTAGTGTTTTGGTTATTTTTGTTAGATTATTTTCATTATAATATTTTGGTTATATTTAAATTACATCATTACATTACATATTAAATTACATTACATACTGAAGTTACATTATTTTCATAAAATTTTATAACATTTAAGTTATACTATCTTGGTTATATTATTTTGGCTGTAATATTTGGCTCTAACATCATATGGCTTATATTATTTGTGTTACATTATTTGTATTAATAAAAATGAATTAACTCTGGCTGGCTCACAAAGCAAAATTCAGCTCCTTACTGTTTGAGAAATACCAAAGCACTTCTAAGGTACTAAAAGCAAGTTTTGAGGAAGGGGAGCTGGCAGATGAGCACCCCAAGATGAGTAAGATGTATATCTGGATGGCAAAGAAAAGAAGCCTGGGTTCCGAACTCCACCAAAGACCATGAAGGACACAAGGGTGGAAAATTCTTAGCATCTGAGCTCCTGGAAATCAGAGGAGTAGCTGAACATTAGACCACATCCATTCACACAAATACATTAATCTAAAACTAATTTTATTGAAGATAAGGATGTCAGAGCTTATCATGAGGCCAGATTTCCATCTTCTACTTCAGAGCCACGGCAATTAAAACTAGCCTGGCTGGACAAACCACACACTTTGATAGATGGCCCAAGAGGAAAGCTGTACACTGTGCAAAGTGCACACTGGAGAAAAGACAGACTCTTGAACAAATGAGACTAGATCCTTACCTTTCCCCCGACAGCAGAGTCAACCCCAGATCTGTAACATAAGGCCTGAAAATGTGAAACTGTCAGAGGTAAAAGCAGGGAAACCACGTCAAGATACAGGCACAGGTAAGGAGTTTGCAAACAGTTCCAGTAGCCCAGGAAAGAAGGCCAAGTATGAGCTCACGATGCTACATAGCTGTATTCAACAAAAGCAACAGTCAAGAGACAGACTGCTGAGTGGGAGAAAAATCTGCCTGGTGCACATGCGACAGAGGATTAACCAGAATACACAAATAAGGAAACAAGGAAATAACCCAATTGAAGTGTGTGTGTGTATAAAAATTGAGAGGCCCACCTGCCCCTAGGTGACAAGAGTGGGCAGAAGACACCCAGAGGCCTGCCTGCCCTGTTCATACCACCCACAGAGGGTGCCACTAAGATGTACAGGTATGGTGGAGAGATGGGAGAGAAAGAGAAACAATGGTTTGGGCACCAGGAAGAGAGGTGGAAGTAGAGGGACAAGGTTGGTGAACAGCCTGTTGAGTAACCTGCCCTGCCACCTGAGGCCACAGTGAAGTCCATGCTGCTGCTGAGGGCCATGTCTGGGTCAATGGCCACTGCAGCAGCAGGGGTCTGGGTCGATTGTCTGTGGCCTCTATCACCACCAAAGCCATGCGGATGTCCCTGGTCTGGGCTGCTGCCTGGGGCAATGCTGATGTTTCAGGACTGCACAGGGCTGAGCCCACCCCTTGCTGGCTGCAGCACTGAGGAGCATGGGTCCTGCACCCTGCCTGGGTAGCACGGTAGAGCTGGCCCTGTTTGCAGGGGCTAGCCAGGGAAGTGCTGGAGGGTCCCCTCGGGGGGCGTGGGTGCAGGAGAGCTGGCAGGCTGCCCAGAACAGCTACTCCCAAGGCCCAGGTCCGGGGCTTTCAGTTGTCCCACTCCAACATCTACCCCATCGATGAACTGCTGACGTGTGAAGGCCGGTCCTGCAGGCCCAAAGCTGCTCCATGACAGTGTAACAACAGGGTATCCGAGAGGCTTCCCAGTGAGGATCCAGTATTGATGGTGTAGCAGAAGCCAGAAGCCTCAACCTGACCAATGAATGACTCATTGCAATGGATATTTGCAAGTAAAACTGTGGACAAAAGAGTGTACTGTGTGACACTGTGACACACTATAGCTTCCACAACAAGACAGTTTTTATGGGTTTTTTAATTTTCTTTGTGGGAGGGGTAGGTTGCAAAGGTGGAGGACAAATGCAAAGGGATGGGGAGATAAGTGGGATTGGGGGTGCATGATATGAAATCCATAAAGAATAAGCTGAACAAATTATAGAAGAGATTGTAGATTTGGGAAGTAGAGGACAAGAAGTTGATGGAAGGAGAAGGAGGGGTAGAAATGGTTGCAACGTGCTCAGGAAATTCTCAGATTTAGAAATGAAAAACAAATGGCCTAAGAAGCTAAATAATTCTTGAAGAAAGAAAAAATAATTGACCAGTAAGTATTTTTCAAAGTGTTCAACATTAGTTGCCATCAGGAAAATCCAAAATCAAACCAGTTTGAGATTCCACCTCACCCCAGTTGGATTGGCCATCATCAAATAATGCTGGTGAGGAAGTGGAGAAAGCAGAGCCCTTCTCCTCCACTGGCGTGGGTGGGGTCAGGGCATGCTGGCGTAGTCACTATGAAAATCAATGTGCAGTCTTCTCAAAAAAAAAAAAAAAAAAAAACAAAAAAAAAAAAACTTAAAACAGGGCTGGAGAGATAGAGTGATGGTTACGAGAGCTTAGTGGTCCCAGCACCCGTGTAACATGGACCTAGCACCCACATACAAGCCAGGCTGCGGTCTCCTGTGTACTTGTGACCCCAGAACTATGGGGGGAGGGTCAAAGACAGAAAGCTTATTAGGGTTCTCAACTTGTGGGGCGCAACCCCTTGGGGGGTTGCATATCAGATATTTACATGACAATTCGTAACAGTAGCAAAAGTACAGTTATGAAGTAGCAACAAAATAATTTTATGGTCGGGGGGAGGGTCACCAAAACCTGAGGAACTATATTAAAGGGCCGCAGCATTAGGAAGGTTGAGGACCACTGCATTAGGGCTTGCTGGCTGCTAGCTTACTCAAAAATAGAAGGCCTCATGTTGAAGAGGGGGGTGGTGAGAGGCTGTGCCCCAACAAATGAGGCATAAAGTATTAGGGGTGGATATCTCATTACCTTCTCTGGCCTCGGTACACACATCCAACACATATATATGCATGCAAATATTTAACC